AATTAGTTTTATGAATTATAAACATAATTAAACTTTGCAATTCTCAATATTTTATTCAAGAGTTAGATGAGATATAAAAATTTTTTTGGAGAATCACATTATCTTAATTACTTTTACCCTTAAAATTTTAAAATATGTTGGATTACTTTTTTTTTAACAATTATTTAATCCTTTATTCTAGCTTTATTTTATTACAAATAATGATATAGTGTGATTTATAATTAGTCTATCTAATACTAAAAAAAATATTTTACAATTAATTTGATAACTATGAGACTTTTCAAGATGGTGGGGAGTGTTGACAAATAGGGTTGGATAGAGCAATTTGATGAGTAAGCTAGATAGAATTGAAGGATTTAATAAGAAGTTCTCTTATATGTATATTAAAAATAGGTGGACGTTTTAGCAACATGGTCTCCACTTAGTAGAGTACCATATAAAAAATATATCAAGCACATCTACGAATTGCCCTCATACAATAGGGAATATCGTCGATGTTAAATCATTTAGGTTTCATTTGGGACAACTTTTTTATTTCTTTCTAAAGCAACATTGAGTCATGATCTAATCTAAAATATTGCTTTAGAAAGAAACAAGAAATTTATCGCAAATGAATCCTTAATCTAACTTGTTGATCTTTAGCTTCCATAAAGTATGTTATCATTTGCGTTGATAATATTTACTATATTTTTTGCAGTCATCCATACTTACCTCATAAATGCAAATTCAACTTAATGTTTTCCTTCATTCTATCTTAAGGAAATAAACTTTAAATCATTCCAATTTATGTAATGAGCTTCACTAAGAATGAAAAGGTAGAATTTCTTATGGAGCTGGCGATATAAATCCATTTGTAGCTCTAAGTCATGGTCTAATCTATGATGTCGAAAAGATAAACTGCATTATCAAGATGTTATGCGATGAAGGCTACAACATGAAAAATCTAAGAATTGTCATCAAAGATTATTGCAATTGCACATCTGCACATAATAGAATAGAATACTAATTTAATACACTTTACCAACTATACTAAGGTCGAGAAGTGGCATAATTATTCAAAAATTTCATAAATTCATACAAAAGAAACCAATCAATGAAATTTTGTATTCCAATAGTCAAATTATCCAAAACAAAGTGTGCAATAATATACCAAAATATATGTGGTGAAACTTTTTCTAAACTCAAGAAAAATATACTTATAAGCTTATTTTTATAAGCATTTTGAATTGAAATAAGAAACAGAATATGGCCTGCCAACCTCTTGCTCAAGAATTTCCTCAATTAGCTGAACGTACGATTTCCAAGTTTAAGCCTCTACAACTCCTCTATTTTCTCTCTCATCAGCTCCTCCCCTTCTTTCTTCTTCTCGAGCAAGCCTGGAAATTGAATGGTATTAGCTAAATATATTTTAATATTTTAAAACCAATTTGTTGGCCTAGCAGTGTGGCATTGATCAACTCTCTAGTGCCACCGCGCTCCTAGAGAATCTTTCAAATTCCACAAAAATATCTCCATTTTAGACTCGGTACCTTGCTAGAGCCTCCCGGTGCCACAGTGCATACTCTTTTTCTTCCCAAACAAAGAGTTGAATGTTGTGGTGCTATAAATCGTAGCGTAGTGGCACTCCTAATGCAAATTCACTGAATTGGAATTCACTTCCCATACTACTTCCTACCTCAATTCAAAAACTCAGTGAACACTCTAGAACTTATAATTATTATTTCAATCATTATTAGATAAATATTAATCATAATTATCTAAATAATTGGACAACAAATATTACATAACTCAACATTTATTTAATCGAAATAAAAAGCAGTTATTAATTAATTATTCTGATGAAAGAAATACTGCTGACAGAAAACATAAATTAAACAAACTTTGCTTAAAACATAAATTTAAAGCACTTTTGAGATTTTTTAATAATCTTAAATCTTTTAAGACTTTTAGTATATGAGGTTTTTTGATAAGTGAAATCATATACGTTTTGAAGTTGTTAACCTTCTAAGATTTTTTTTTTACCTATACATTTTTTAGGCTTTTTGCCTTCTAAAATTTTTGATATACATGTACCTTATAAGGTATATATCTTTTGAGATTTTTTTTATAATCATATATCTAATGAGGCTTATGCCTTCTAAAGTTTAAGCGAACATATACCTTTTGAGATTTTTTCCTTTCTAGGTATTACGTATTCGTATTTCATCGGAGGCCTTTATGTTTAATGATTTTAAAATAACATTGAACATTTTGAGGCTTTTACTTTCTAAGTTTTCTTATTGAGTGGTGACCCTGTCAACCACTTGCTCTCATAGAGTCTTTCTAATGAGGACCTTATCATCCAATCTATCTCATGGGCTTTTTTTCTAGGGGTTATGAGTAGAGTCTTTGTCTACCACTTACTTTTAAGGAGTCTTTCTAGTGAGGACATTATCCCTTACTTGCTTCCCTTTGTAGCTACCTCGTGGGCATACCTTCCTAGGTTTATGAGTGGAGACCCTATTTGTCACATGCCCTCATTGGACCTTTCCAATGAGGATCATGCTCACTATTACTTCAAACTTGTGATATACTAGAAATAATTCTAAATAATCAAATGATATATTCTAAATACAATTTAATAACATATATCCAAAAGTCATTATATTTTTAATACATTCATCTTAAAATACAATTTAATAATTTATTTTGATGAAAATTTTGATCAAAAGATTTTTATGCAATTTTTTTCCGGTTAAAATTTATACCAAGATCAGTACTTGGAAAAAAATCTATGCAAATGTGATGCATAGGAAAATTAAAGGGTGTGATGAAAAGTTTCCAAAATTGCTTCATAATTAAGAATTTTCTTGTTTTTTAATCCACCATTAACACAAGATTAATATCATCAAATGAGATTAATGGAAAATTATTACATAACTTTGACTTAAACTCGTTGAAATTAATTTCAACAAAGAAAACAAAGCACCTCTTCTTTTACTTTTAGGGCAAATCTAAAAATATATACAATTAAAAAATAGATTGTGTTACTATAGTAAGTCGTCCGTTTAATATACAACTTGTTACAGTCACACCTGACTGAGTTAGAATCCAATCTCTTGTTGCAGCTAAATTAGCATCCAATCTCTTATTTAATGGATGATTTTACCTAATTTTAATTTCCTTATAGTACTTAATTATATAATTAGTTTATAATCATACCTAATTAAAAAATTTGCCTAATGAAAATTTTAATTTTAACGGTAAAAAAACCAACTAGTAACCAACTAGTATTATGTGGTTAAGATTTTTTTTAAGAGAATTTTATAAAATTAAAAGGAAGAAAGAGTACAAACTGGTGTATGAAAACATGCCTACTCCTCCCAAAACAAAAAAAACAAAAATGGAGAAGATAACAACAATGAAAGCAATCCATACACGTCGATCTACAGAGAGGGGGAAAAAAAGAAAGCAAAAGGACCCCCTCAAGTGAGAAGGAGAGCCCGAACATGGGTTTGCAGTGAGTACTGGAAAGATATCACCCAAGGCAAACAAATGGAGGAGGCAGCTCATTGACCACTTGAGGGGACCAAGTCCTCGCCTGTAAAATCTATAGAAGTCTTCTTCCTCTTCCTCAGAGCCAAGGCAATAGGTCCAAGACGAAGAAGTTCCCTGGAGAAAGGTGTATTTGATGTGTTGGGCTGCTACTTCCTAAGATTAAGTATCCGATCAGAAGTTTCTTCAAGTTGTTGAACCTTGTTGCAGTCACAGCTGGCTGAATGCTTTAATATATATATAATGCTAAAAAACTGCTACATCAAGAGGTCTATTTGGGATAGCTTTCTCTATATTTTGCTTTTCATGTAGCAATAATAATTTAGTTTGACTATGACAAGTAACTTTTTAGAAAACTACTCAAAATATTATAAATGTATTCATGTATGCTTTCTTAAAACTACCATACACTAGCTACTCTAATTCTGGTCCTTAAAAACAGCTTTCAATCACAATTTTTATTTTGAAAAACAACCAAATAATAATAATAATCATAAAATATTAATCAAATAAAATTATACTTGCACTCTAAAAAATAAAATAGCCAAAAAAAATTATCTCAAAATGACCCCTAATTTAAATAATAACTTACCCGCACGATTTGATCACAACCCCGACAACACATTGAATAACTCAAAGCAAAACCCAGCTTCCAAAAGCTGTACGCATCAGCAAAAATAGCAAGAAAGATAAATAATTAATATAACATCAACAGACTTCGTTCGCAATTTGTTTCCATAGGGCATTATTGATATTTTGTAATTTGGCGAGAAATGAATGATCGGACTATTTTTCAGCTGCATTTTTTTTTGGAATTGATCAAGTAGGATTCGTGAATTGTCCTAATAGAATGAATTCAATAGAAAAGTTAGAAGCTTTTTTTAATGGTTTCGAACATATTGTTTTAATGTTGTATCCCATATGATATGATTGTATCCAGAAAATAAAGATCCGACATATTTGCAGGTCCGATGAGTGTAAATTATGATATTTTTAAGTGAAAAATAATATTTTTCTAATGGAGATGTCTTTTGGAATAAATTCAAATATTTTAAAATTCACATTATTGCAAAGTTTTTTCATTGAATTTATGTAATTGAAGATATAAAAAAAAAATCGTAGGAAAATAAAAATAAAAGCATTATTTGTGCATACTAAAATTTAAATTCTATAAAAAGTATTATCTGACAAAGTAGAGGCATAAGTGCTTAAAGTTAATTATCTGATCATAAATTTCAATGCGTATTTCATTCATAATTAAAATAATAATAATAAATAAAAATAAAAAAAATACGTTGGAAGAATTCAAAGCATAAGCGGTTTCACCTCACCGGAAACTCTTATTTAATAAATATAATTCCTTGCACAAAAAAAAAAAAAAAAACCCATAAAAACCTATCACCCTTCCATAGAATGGAAGTAACAAATTGTGTTTTGCCTCCTTAAACTCAAAATTAATCAGGATTATGGATCGGCACTTGTTCCCTTTGCTGTCTTCATTTCTTCTCCTATTGCTTGCAATGAAGGCTCTCAGAGTCCATGCGGAGACCACAGAGCCCAATCAAAGAGTATGATTGCAATATTCATTTCACAATATATATTTCTTTTATTTACCACAATTGTATGCAATTTTTTAATGTGAACAATTAACAGCCTTACATCGTGTATATGGGAGAAAAACCAAAAGAATTGGTTGGCCTGCCACCAATAGCTCACTCAGAACTGCTCAAGAAAGCAACTGGATTAAGGTGATCTGCCGAAACAAGTCCCCAAATTATCTTTTTCTTGATTTTCTGGTTCCTATTTAATTTTTTTATCAAGTTAATTATGTTTTTGCTTATATATAAAAGCATATTTTCCAATCAAAACTAATGTTGAATGCAGCAAGGAGGAAGCGACGAAGCGTCTGATATATAGTTACACCAAGAGCTTTAATGGCTTCGCCGCTATGCTTTCCGATGAAGAAGCAAGGAAGTTATCCGGTAATATAAATATGTACATAAATCAAAAGAATACTAGCTAGAATTGCAATCATAAATTCAATGCTATTAATGCATAATATTTGGCTTGGAAAATATCAATTTTTCATATTTGTTGTGATGTATAAACTCAGGCTTGGAAGAACTGGTTTCTGTTTTCCCAAGCAAGCAAAGGCAACTTCACACAACAAGATCATGGAACTTCATGGGTTTTCCATCGACCGTTCCACATGGGCCCTTTGAGTCAGATGTTATTGTCGGCATGATCGACACAGGGATCTGGCCTGAGTCAAAGAGCTTCAATGATATCGGCTTTGGCCCACCACCAAGCAAGTGGAAGGGCATATGTCAGTCAAATCACAACTTCACATGCAATAAGTAATTGAAGCTCCTCATCATCTTATACTTATAAAAACAAGTTATAGTATAGTTATATGAAAATACTAATACTTTCATAATTAATTACTAACGAACAGTAAAATTATTGGAGCTCGATATTATCATCTTCAAGGCAACATAAGTGAACAGGACATACCCTCACCTCGTGATAATTTAGGACACGGAACCCACACATCCTCTACTGCCGTCGGACGATTTGTCAAAAATGCAAGCCTTGCAGGTATTGCAGATGGAACTGCCCGCGGAAGCGTTCCTTTTGCGAGAATTGCAGTATACAAAGTTTGCTGGAGTGATGGTTGCTCTGATGTCGATCTACTTGCTGCTTTCGAAGATGCCATTGCAGATGGTGTTGACATCATCTCTCTTTCCATTGGTGCTGGTGGCACCATCAACTATTTTGATGACTCCATAGCTATAGGATCTTTCCACGCAATAAAGAAAAACATTCTCACATTGAGCTCGGCGGGAAACTCCGGTCCTGATATTTCTAGCATTGAGAACTATGCGCCGTGGCTACTCACAGTGGCAGCAAGCACCATTGATCGCAAGATCGTTGCAAGAGCTAAACTTGGTAACGGAGAAGAATTTCAGGTGATTAATTAATTATCATTATATATGTACAATAATTATTTCAAAAGTGGAGGATCGTAATTAAGTAATTCTTATGCATTTAATATTATTGGTTATAAGGGTATGGCAATTAATACTAATGGCTTGGATGGTGAGATGTATCCTTTGATATTTGGCGGAAATGCGCCCAACATTTCTGGAGGTGCTAACTCATCCATCTCTAGGTGAACTAGCTTTTACATTTTTTGTGTCGCTATTTTTGAATTTTAAAGTCAAAAATACCAATATCAACTTCATTAAGTACATATTCCATTTATGTCATGCGTGCAGTTTTTGCGGTGAAGGGACACTAGACAAGAAATTGGTGAAGGGAAAAGTTGTTTTATGTAGAGGCTTAAGCGATGGCTCGGGTCTACTACTCGCAGGAGCCGTTGGAGCAATTATGCAAACAAATGGTGCCAATGACGACTCTTTCTGGTTCTCGCTTCCTGTCTCTGTGCTGCAATCAAACAGTACCGAACAAGTTCAACATTACACAAATAAAACTAGGTTACTACGCTCAATTAATTAATATATAAAGCATTTTATTATGATGTTTATTATCTTAATTAATTGTCATATACACTAATTATTATCTTTTTCTATCTATCTATCTGATAGCAATCCTACTGCAAGTATTTCTAAGAGTCAGGGCGTGTTCGATGCAACTGCCCCATATGTTGTTTCATTCTCATCACGTGGGCCAAATCCTATTACCCCCAATATATTGAAGGTAATTAAATAAATAAATAAATTGAGATTTTGTTCAAATTTTATTTTGTGTAAATATTACAATAATGTGTTGCATATATAATGTAGCCAGACCTAACAGCACCAGGGGTTGGTATTTTAGCAGCATGGTCTCCACTTAGTAATCCTAAGGTACCATATAACATTATGTCAGGCACATCCATGTCTTGCCCTCATACAACAGGTGCCGCCGCTTATGTCAAATCATTTAATCCAACTTGGTCTTCAGCTGCCATAAAGTCTGCTCTTATTACCACTGGTAAGCAATCATTAATTAGAACATGGCTAATTAAGAAATGCAAATTCAACTTGTAGTTTTTCTTTATTTAATGTTAATGAATTAAACTTAAATTTTAATTTTAATTCTTGTAGTCTATGTGATGAGCTCAACTAAGAATGCAGAGGCAGAATTTGCTTATGGAGCTGGTCACATAAACCCACTCGCAGCTTTGAGTCCTGGTCTTATCTATGATGCCCAAGAGGTAGACTACATTAAAATGCTATGTGGTGAAGGCTACAGCACTAAAAATCTAAAACTTGTCACTGGAGATCAGAGCAGTTGCACTTCTACCAACAATGGAACGGTTTTTGATCTCAACTATCCCACCTTCGCTTTGAGAGCCCAACAAGGAAAGACCTTTTCAGCTTCCTTCCAAAGAACAGTCACTAATGTGGGAGTGTCAAATTCCACTTACAAGGCGATCGTGAATTCTCCTTCTAGTCTCAAGATTAATGTTGAACCGAACGTCTTGGCTTTTGAAGCCCTTTTGGAGAAGAAATCATTTTCAATCAAAATTGAAGGGGATGCTCCAAAGATCACTATCTCAGCTGTTTTGATATGGAGCGATGGTACTTATAATGTCAGAAGTCCAATTGTTGTTTATACCATCTAAAAAAGTTGTTCTCATCCACTATGAGTAACTTTCATTAATGATTATATGCTTTTTAAACACAATGTATTTGCTTTTCTTAGTAATTATGTCAATGTTCCTACCAATGATGTAATGCATTCTATATTGGAAAATTTGTTTTCTTAATCATTCTCTTAGTTTTTTTTCTTTCTATTCCATAATTTCAATCATAGTTTTACATGTTTTATTTCCATTTATACAAAAAATATATGATAAAATTTGTTATGAATATGCTAGAGCTCATGTCTAGTAGCTTGGCTTTATAGTGAAAGCAAGAAAATAAAAGCATTCTCATTGCTTAAGAAGTCCTCAAGGAATTCAAGGATATGCTATAGAAGTCCTCAAGAAATTCAAGATAGATGACACTAATTCCTATTGGAATATTTATGTTGTCCAAAATTGATGAAGGTGAAACACTGGATCCAACTCATCACAAAATTTTTGTTGGAAGCTTATGCTGCTTAATTTATAAAATGCTAGGTATTATGTTATGTTGTTGGAATTGTTAGTCTAGACATTAAAAATCCCAAAAATAGCACATTTCAAGACTATGAAGTGAATATTTAATACATCAAAGGAACAACTAATTATTGGTTGGTTTAGTCTTCTTCTAAAAAAAAGTTTAATTATGAAAATTACTTATGTATTAAATAATAAAACTTAAGGTAAAAATTTAATTATGCATTGGTTAGAATTAATTAAATATGATGAAAATTAGTTTTATGGGTTATAAACATAATTAAACTTTACAATTCTCAATATTTTTTCAAGAGTTAGATGAGATATTAAAAAAATGAGGAGAATCACATTATCTTAATTACTTTTACCCTTAAAATTTTAAAATATGTTGGATTATTTTTTTAAGAATTATTTAATCCTTTATTTTAGCTCTATTTTATTACAAATAATGATATAGTGTGATTTATAATTAGTCTATCTAATACTAAAAAAATATTTTACAATTAATTTGATGACTATGAGACTTTCAAGATGGTGGGGAGTGTTGACAAATAGGCTTGGATAGAGCAATTTGATGAGTAAGCTAGATAGCATTGAAGGATTTAATAAGAAGTTCTCTTATATGTATATTGAAATAGGTGGACCTTTTAGCAACATGGTCTCCACTTAGTATATTAGAGTACCATATAACAGTATATCAAGCACATCTACGAATTGTCCTCATACAATAGGGGATACCGTCGATGTTAAATCATTTAGGTTTCATTTGGGACAACCTTTTTATTTCTTTCTAAAGCAATTTCGGATCATGATATTTCTTTAGAAAGCAACAAGAAAGCTATCGCAAATGAAACCTTAATCTAACATGCTGATCTTTAACTTCCATAAAGTATGTTCCCATTTGCGTTGATATTATTAACTATATATTTTTGCAATCATCCATACTTACCTCACAAATGCAAATTCAACTTAAAGTTTTCCTTCATTCTATCTTAAAGAAATAAACTTTAAATCACGGCAATTTATGTAATGAGCTTCACTAAGAATGAAAAGGTAGAATTTCTTATGGAGCTGACGATATAAATCCATTTGTTGCTTTGTGTCCTGGTCTAATCTATGATTTCAAAAAGATAAACTGCATCAAGATGTTATCCAATGAAGGCTACAACACGAAAAATCTAAGAATTATCATCAAAGATTATTGCAATTGCACATCTGCACATAATAAAATAGAATACAAATTTAATACACTTTACCAACTATACTAATTAAGGTCGAGAAGTGGCATAATTATTCAAAAATTTCATAAATTCATACAGAAGAAACCAATCAGTGAAATTTTGTATTCCAATTGTCAAATTATCCAAAACAGAGTGTGCAATAATATACCAAAATATATGCGATGAAACTTTTTCCAAACTCAACAGAAACAAACTAGAAGCTTATTTTTTATAAGCATATTGAATTGAAATAAGAAACATAATATGGGTTGCCAACCTCTTGCTCAACAATTTCCTCAATTAGCTGAACGTACGATTTCTAAGTTTCAACCTCCACAACTCCTCTCTTTTCTGTCTCCTTAGCTCCTCCCCTTCTTCTTCTCGAGCAAGCTCCTGAAAATTGAATGGTATTAGCTAAATATATTTTAATATTTTAATATTTAAAAACCAATATGTTGGCCTAGCAGTGAGGCATTAAACTCTCCAGTGCGACTGCGCTCCTAGAGAATATTTCAAATTCTACCAGAATCTCTCCATTTTAGACTCCGTACCTTGCCAGAGCCTCCAGGTGCCACAGCGCATACTCTTTTTCCTTCCCAAAAAAAGATTTGAATGTCATGGTGCTATCAATCGTAACTTAGTGGCGCTCCTAGTTCAAATTCACTGAATTGAAATTCACTTCCCATACCACTTCCTACCTCAATTCAAAAGCTCATTGAACACTATAGAACTTATAATTATCATTTCAATCATTATTAGATAAATATTAATCATAATTACCTAAATCATTGGACAACGAATATTACATAACTCAACATTTATTTAATCTAAGCAAAAAGGAGTTATTAATTAATTATTCTGTTGAAATAAATAGTGCTGACAAATAATAGAAATTAAATAAACTTTGCATAAAACATAAATTAAAAGCACTTTAGAGATTTTTGAATAATCCTAAATCTTTTAAGGAATTTAGTATATGAGGTTTTTTTATAAGTGAAATCATATACCTTTTGAAGTTGTTAACCTTCTGAGTTTTTTTTTACATATACATTTTTTAGACTTTTAGCCTTCTAAAAATTTTTATATACATGTACCTTCTAAGGAATATATCTTTTGAGATTTTTGGATAATCATATATCTTATGAAGCTTAAGCCTTCTAAAGTTTAAGCAAACATATACCTTTCGAGATTTTTTTCCTTTCTAGGTATTACATATTCGCATTTCTTATGAGGCCTTTATGTTTAATGATTTTAAAATAATATTGAACCTTTTGAGGCTTTTACTTTCTAAGTTTTCTTATTGAGTGGTGACTCTGTCAACCACTTGCTCTTATAGAGTCTTTCAAATGAGGTCCTTATCTACTACTAGCTTTCCATCAAAGCTATCTCACGGGCTTTTTTTCTTGGGGTTATGAGTAGAGTCTCTATTTACAACTTACTCTCATGGAGTCTTTCTAGCGAGGATATTATCAAATACTTGTTTCCCTTTGCAGCTACCTCATGAGTATACCTTCCTAAGTTTATGAGTGGAGACCCTATTTGTCACATGCCCTCATTGGGCCTTTCCAATGAGCGGATCATGCTCACTATTAATTAGCTTCAAACCTATGATATACTAGAAATAATTCTAAATAATTAGATGATATATTCTAAATACAATTTAATAACATATATCTAAAAGTCTTTATATTTTTAATACATTCATCTTAAAATAAATTATTAAATTTATTTTGATGAAAAATTTGATCAAAAGATTTTTATGCAACTTTTTTTTCGATTAAAATTTATACCAAGATTAGGACTTGGAAAAAAAATCTATGCAGATGTGATGCATAGGAAAATTAAATTGAGTGATGAAATGTTTCCAAACTTGCTTCAAAATTAATACTTTTCTTGTTTTTCTAATCCATCATTAACACAAGATTAACATCATCAAATGAGATTAATGGAAAATTATTACATAACTTTGACTTAAACTCATTGAAATTAATTTCAACAAAGAAAACAAAGCACCTCTTCTTTTACTTTTAGGGCAAATATAAAAATAGATACAATTAAAAAAAAGATTGTGTTACTATAGTAAGTCGTCTGTTTAACAGACAACTTGTTGCAGTCACAGCTGGCTGAGTTAGCCTCCAATCTCTTGTTCCAGCTGAGTTAGCATCCAATCTCTTATTTAATTGATGATTTTACCTATTTTTAATTTTCTTATTATACTTAATTATATAATTAGTTTATAATCATACCTAATTAAAAAATTTGCCCAATGCAAATTTTACTTCTAACGGTAAAAAAATCAACTAGTATTATACGGTTAAGATTTTTTTATGATAATTTTATAAAATTAAAAGGAAGAAAGAGTACAAACTGGTGTATGAAAACAAGCCTACTCCCAAAATAAAAAACAAAAGGGGAGAAGATAACAACGATGAAAGTAATCCATACACAACTACAGAGAGGGGAACAACCGAAAAAAAAAGCAAAAGGACCCCCTCAAGTGAGAAGGAGAGCCCCAACATGGGTTTGCAGTGAGTACTAGAAAGATAGAACCCAAGGCAAACCAATGGAGGAGGCAGCTCATTGACAAGTTGAGGGGACCAAGTCCCCACCTGTAAATCTATAAAAGTCTTCTTCTTCTTCCTCGAAGTCACGGAAACATGTCCAAGATGAAGAAGTTCCCTAGAGAAAGGTGTATTTGATGTCTAGGGATGCTACTTCCTAAGAATAAGTATATGATCAGAAGTTTCTTCAAGTTGTTGAACCTTAAAGGCTTTGAACTTAATAGGCAGTTGGGTTTGTTTAGGCATGGCAGCTTGTTCCTTCTTAGCCTTGGCCTTGCCCTTAGCTCTTCTGGTCACCACATTCCAAGCAGCCAAGCAGCATGTTCCTCCTCAAGAGTGTCAGCAGTGCTGCTCTATTTGGTGGGTTTATTTTTTTTTTTTCCATCCGGTAGGGGGGGGGGGGGGGTCACTATCCGAGGGATGGTGAGAGGTGAAAGGGCCTTCGACCGACTTGGGAGGCATGGGATAAGCCGATGAGTTGGTGTGTGACGAGACCTTCTGGGTGGTAGACTTGGTGGAGCAATTGCTACAAGTGTGGTCAATGAATCAACAAAAAAATCAAAAGTTTGATAGCCCCTCATATTCTACTCATTGGAAGAACCGACCATGCAAACCCTTAATTCATACCCCTGCAGTAATTCTTTTGAGAGCTCAATCCTCACACATATTTTGGCATAAGAAGATCTTCCCCAAGAACTAGTATGTGAATCCATCCAAAGAGAATCCCCTAACATATTGGCAA